TTTTCATCAAATACATGAGGTGAAAGGGGAAGGGGCAAAGGGAAAAAGGGTAAGGGAATGATAGTAGTGAGCAATGAAGGACATTTGACCGAGGTCGCTCTCTTAAGACTTAAATCCTCTGTTGCATGGTGTTGTCTCGCTAGTTACTCATCATGATCAAGTGAATTAGCTAATGTGGGATAACAAACTTGTCAGCTCTTGCTCGTTAGGTAACTTCACTATCGTTTGCTTTATCTGTCCGTGTCAAACAGAAATACTCCTTATTCATTTAATTTAGTAGATTAATGCTGAGAATAGATCAATGCATAGTCCAAATCAGCTTAGAACCTACCGGAAATGATTAGCAATGACTAACAAACATTAAATTTCTGTCATTTATTCTCTCATATTACTACTGCCTTATTTAATAACACAAATAATGAGTAAATTTACAACTAAATTACTCTATTATTGATCTTTGCCTTTAGCTCTTTATAATGTACTTGTACATGTTTCATTATGTGCTTCTGATCTTTTCCCTCTTCTACTACGTATTGCTGATGCTGAAAAAAAAATATTTAAATTGTGAACAAGATTTTTTTGCTGATTTTTTCTTCATCAAAGATAGAGAGCTAAAAATAAATTAGAATGGTATCGAAGAGTAATTAAAAGGTAGAACGAATGATAATATATGGATGGGGATGGCAAAAAAAATAGAAGTAATCACAGGGAGAAGAAAGAATGAATGACCAGAATATTGTTACGTTAGAAGGCTTAGGTGAATGTGTTTTACCAAATATTGTAAATATCATTTTACCTTAGTAAATAAAGGTTGTGCTGGAATTTTGTTGCTCAAAGCTTGAAAAGGAGGAGAAAGAGAAGAAGGATAGCTAGCTAGCCTTTGGCTAGAAAAGTAAATGGGAGTGGTGGGAATTGAGATTGAAGAACTGCGGCTCACACTTAGGCCTTCACTACAACTCAAACGCTAAAGGAAACTAAGGAAACTCATTCATTTCTTTTTTCCTTTTTTTTTTGCTCTAATGATTTCTCCCATTTTTAGCTAAGATTGTAGCATTGTAAAAATAAGTGAGTAATTAACTCATTCATTATTGATTCATTATCGTACAATTTTGACTTGAATATAAAGTTTAACTAGTTGATAAAAGGTAATAAGTAAATCAAAAATTTAACTAAGTAAAAATTTATTCATGTCATTTTTTATGAATAAAATCATTTAGTATTGAACAGAAATGGTTTTTCAAAAAGCTCCATATTAGGTTATATAAAAATGATTACTTAATCTTTTTTCTTATTCAATAATTGATACATCATTCTAAGGTCCTTCTAGTTGGTATCTGAGTACATTTCACTTGTTATTGGCATGCTTGAAAAAGTAGCCATTACGTTATTGTTGATATTTATTATGATTGTCATGTTTATTATCAATATTATTAGGAAGGAAACAAAGACGACGAGTCAAAACGGTCACAGTAGTGAACTGCAGCAAATGCTAATTCTATTTTAAATATTGCTATACAGAAAATTAAAAATCTATTCTACTAGTTAACTTAACGATTATTTCGATGGTTGATCACCAAGGTGCAACTTTGCATATCATATTTCCATTGATCACTTTTATTATTCACTCTGTCATCTTATTTGCATCAGGTAAATTTAAATTTTATTGCTATCCATATACTGAATCATTATACTTGTTGAACTTTTTTTCTACTACACTGTTATTAAATTAAAGTCTTCATTCTCCTATTTTTTGCAATAGTTATTGATAACAAAAATTAGTAGTAATCTAATTCGATATTCTATAACAAATGTTAAATTGATAAGAATTTAATTTCTCCACAAAATTAATTGATAATGTAATGTAATAAGTAAAGTTTACTGATAAGAAATGCTACTTCGATTATTTACAACTTTTTCATTCCAATTATTGTAACTTATAAAAGTAAAAACAGTTTAACAATTCTTTCAGAAATTTTGATTATTAACATAACTATTATGATTATTATCATTATGAACATTATCACTATACATATCTTCAAATATTTTCATTCTTTATTAAAAAATATGTGAGAGTGTTATTTAACTTCAAATTACTGATTACTTCTTCCATATTATACGGAAAAAACGATCAAATATTATCACAAATAGTGAATAACTTCTGCTCACTGAGTAACCATGCATAACTTATTACACGCATCCACTCTGTTCCAAATCAATAGCCAAAGTTATGTTTGTCCTTTTGTTTGTTGCGTTGTACGTTTGAGTTTTTTTTGGGCAAATTCAAAATGAAAAGTGAAAAAGTTTTGATAAAATTTCTGAATTCTAAATTTTAATTAGAAAGAAATAAGTGATTGGCTAAGAAAAATTTGCTTAAACAGTTTGAAAAATTAACTCAAATCAATCATTTTGCACTCTTCCTTCTAGTGGTCAACAATGTAGCATTTGTTGTAAATGCATCTGCTCCTTCCTTATTTCCAATGTTTTGCTTATCGCCATTTCTTGCGTAAATTTATCAAATTTGTTTAGCTTCTTTTCCTACAATTCATTAATTTTTGAATCCTCAATCTGCTTTGAAGTTAATGATAATAATATTCCAATGCTACATTGAACATGGATAAGTCATTGATTTCTGATAAAAACATTATCAGTCCTAATATTTTACGAAATTACGTAAAGTTGATGTAAATTTGATTTTACGTAATTTGAGTTAATTTTGATAAAAGCTGTGCAGGGTCTCCTCGAAAGTTGAGCATAATTTATACAAAATTGTGTAATATTTTTGTTGGAATCAAAATCAAGTTTACATTAGGTATAACGATTTAATTTAAACTTTAATCTACATAAAGTGGTCAACTTCCTTACTAAGACATGTAAGTGTAAAAGGTTGCAGCAGTTGGCAGGAAATTAAACTTTTAGTAATTCCTAAAATGACCATTTCTATCTGAATCAATGGAAATTATTACGGTGACGCCTTTTGGTTAAATCGCATTTACATCTGAAGAAATATTATTTACGGATATGGCTGCCACACGAGATTGATGGCCTTCAAGCATTTGACTTATATTTATGACTATAAATCAGCAGCTAAAACGCATTAATTAGCATATTGGTGAAGAAGGATAAGATTGTTGTTTCATGATTCAATGCGTGAAAGAGAAATATTAAATGAAAGCTAATGACTTAATGCAGTCTGCTTTTCTTAATTCAGATACTTGTCCGGATCAAAAGGAAAAAATTAAGTTAAATACATATTCTCAGTATGGTCACAATTTAAAAAATTCTGTAAAAAAAGTGGTCATTTACTCAGCTGAAACATGCAAATGTAAAAGGTAAAAGCAATTAGCAGAACATTAAACTTCTGTTTGCATTTGGTATTCTTCACGACCAATTTCTCAGCACTTGGCTGTCTTCTAATTAGCTTGTGTCTGAATCTGACATACGAACTATTCAACTGTAAACATAATCGCTTCTTTTTTTATTATTTATAAAAACATTGATAATTGGTAAATATTTCATCTTGTGAATTAAGAGTGGAAGGTTAAAACTGCTTTGAAAATTTTATTGACTTTTTACAAAATCTAATCTCACTTAATCAGCTGTTAATTTGATTAACAATTTGGTTGAAATTTAATTGTGCACAAATGAACAAAAATACAATTTCGCCGTCAACAGCTGTTCATCTACTTCTGTCTTTAAATATATGATCAATTTTTTTGCATTTTGATCGCTTTGAGATATTCTCTTCAGAAAATCGGTAGTGAACTTTACAGCATATTGCAAACGTACACATTTAGATTACATTACATTGATTAAAGTTAATGAATAGATAAAAATTCGGAATTAATTTCACGTACATATATTAAAATTGTAAATTTCAGAAATTTTTTATTCCTCATTTGTTATATTTATATTAATTTTTCGGCAAAATATAATTTGAAATATAGAAATAAATTTTTGAAGCAAGCTTTTTTAATTCAAATTTATTTTCTGTTATAAAGATGTTAGCGTGATATCGGAAAGAAATACAGTGTCATATGCATGATGAGTTCAAGCTGAATATTTGTTTTAGTTCCTAAAATGTACGCTACTTCTACAAGTATTTTTTTCAAGCAAAAATTTCTAACTTTGCAATTTGTCAACAACTGACAACTTTATTTTATACCACAAGAAAATTTATGGGTATTTTCATTCTGATGCATCTCTGTAGCAAAAATGCCAAACTTTGTTTTCTCTTTCTGAAATTATTTCCTTCATATGTAAAATGCAGATTTATCATTGTGAGTGCGATATACATAAATCTCGTTTATCCTAAAAATTGCAATAACAATGTAAAAAAAGTAGTCTATCTTCTATTAAACATTTTTATGTACAAATAAGCATAAATCTTGAAGCTTATAATTCGGAATTTCGAAAAAATACTTCGTATATCATAAATTTTCGTGTAATATACTTCTATGGTCTAATATCACTTTTTACAACATAATACACTTAATCTAACTATATTTATGATAGCTGGTAGTAGAGAAAGATATCACGTTTCAAACAAATAATCTTTGTGTGAATATTGTTGCAATTAATGATGTCAATTATGTATGAGTGTTTATTTAATGAACAATTTTGAGGTTAATTTTGTTTGCCATCCATTAATAATGACTATTACTTATAGATTTAATCATTTTAGTATATTAGAACAAATTCTTGCATGACTTAATTTCTTCTATGAAAACGTTTAAAGTAGTGGAGCACGCTGTTCATTCAACTCTTAAATGTTGCCAGCACAAATTTATTCACAGTTTATGCATTCATCGATGCTCTATCAAAATAATGGACTAGTCCACAAAATAAATACGAATACTTAATAAAGCACGAAAAATTTAAATTTATTTTACTTTTTTTTTAATTTTTTAAAGAAGTCAGTCAGGCTGTGAAAAGTTATTACTAATTGTTACTTTTCAAATTCGTAAAAGGAACAGAATAATTTAGGATGGGAAGTACATATTATGCCTACAGCGCAACAACTTCAGCATCGGAAAACTAACGAAAATATAGCAGTTATATGTTCGGTGGTTGGTCTCCCTAAAAGTCAAGAAAACGATGTAGACATAAAATGGTATCGTGAAAACGAGCCTGAAGCAATTGTTCAGTTGCAAAGGTTAATTAATATTTTGTTTTATTTATTTTTTAACATTCCAAGATGTCAACTGTTTTGTGTGTCCTACTTCGAAATTAAATTAGGAAAACGGAATGAGATGTGAAAAGTATTGCATAAGTATATTTTTTATTAATTTTATCATATGTAAAACTAAATGTATTTTGTTCCTGTGAAAATTGTTCATATATCATTCTCATTTCTTTAATTTCTTATTTGGCATCACCAATAATACAACTCGAAAATGCATTAATATATATTAATATAGAAATACACCAAACAATGATCCCTGGTTTTGAGCTAAGTTTTATTTTGTAGAATTTGCTATCCCAGTTTTTATTTGAAAAAGTTTTCTAATTTTGGTTAAAAAAATTTTAAATAACACTAAAATTTATGTTTTGAAAATTGGTGAAAAATGTCTTGTAAAGTTTCCAACTTATAATCTATTCAGCATTTGAACAAGTTATAATTGTAAAAAAATTTATGCCAAATATTTCTATGGGTAGTTATTGTTTGCTACTTTATAACTGCCACGGTATTTCTGTTTACAGTCTTACCCATTCGAAATTTTATCAAAAAGTATAAATAAATTCACAAAATAGATGGCTCTTTTGTTATAAGAAGCGAAATTAAAAAGTAAATTTAAATCATTTCTTATATCTCAAAAATTAATTTAATCAATTGACTGAATTTGTTCTCTAAACTCACTCAATTGACTGCTACTAAAGTATTAAAATTATTTTAATATTTGTGCTTTGAAAATTAAAGCAGTCAATAAAAATGAATATAAAGATTCAAGAAAGAAAGAAAGAAAAATAAATTAGTAATTTCGTTACGTATTAAATGGACAGAAAATAGATTAAAAAAAATTTCATTACAGTAAATTATGATCGTTTTGTTTTCACTGCCAAACTAAATACAGTGGCCTCTTTGACTTGTAGTTGTTCATTCACAAAAGATTTATTTATTCATAACTAATTGAGTTAATCTTTATATTCTCAAAATCAAGTGAGAAAAAAATGGCGGGAGATTGATAAAAGCTATATAGTGAAGACTAAAATTCAGATTTTTTCATATTTTTTGTAACGATGTTATTTGGAATATCGATTATTAAAATTTTGAATCTTATAAATTTGCTAATTTATTCTTTATCTAATTGTATCAAGAAAGAAAATGAAAAAATTATTGGTTTTCTGGAGAAATACAATTAAGTGTGCAAAGCAATTAATTTAGTTTCAAACATTAGCATTTGACCTTCTTTACTTCAATTATTCTCAATATCTTAATTTATGTTTTTGTTTTGCAAATTCAACGCAGCAAATCAAATTTTGCCAAACAAAACCGTGAAAACAAATGCACTTCTTACTATGTCGCGAGAAGAATTAAATAGACTTATCATTACTACAAAATAAATTCACGTCAATCAGTGTTTAAATTTATGTGAAACGAGTTCACATCTTTTGTTTTGTTTTTTTTGAAGGATAGCAGTCAGTCGTGTGAAACAGCTTTCTACTCGATTGCTTTTTATTAAACCAAGAGTTGAAGATAGCGGTACATACAGATGTGAGGTCAAAGTTGCTGATGGCACAGCAAAAGATAGAACAACTAAAATATCTTTTATTCGTTCGTTTCATTTTTCTACCATACAGTTATGTATGTTGCACGTAATATATCTCAACCTTCAGTATTTAGTTCTTGATGACTGTTATTTATTATCGATGTACATTGACAAAACTAATCATGAAAGCGTAACTAAGCAAAAAATAGTAAATAAATACAATTATTTTTGAGTTTTAGAACTAATTAGTGCAAATGCCTTTCAAAAATAAATATCAAAAATTCAGAAAGAAAACTTCTTGACGAACTCGAGTATATTACTATTTATCACAGTAATTATCAATAGCTAGTTTTTGATCATTTACTTTTTACATACTTCTTTATTTTGTTAGCTTCTTAGTAAAGTATAGCAAGACAAAAGAGAACCCAAATAATACTTTTCATCATTTGAACTTGTGTATCTTATCTTGTAGATTATTTTAAGTTAGTTGTGATATGATCTGAAAATTTTCGAAGGAAAGTCAAAGAAGTATGTTTTAGAAGCAGCGGAATTTTTGGACATTGATTTAGAACAGCATCCAGAAGACGGTAGCAGAGCTGAAATTGTGTGTCGAGTTCGAGGTGATCCGTCGCTCGAAATCTTTTGGCAGTTTGAAGGAAAAAATATTCTAGAAGGCATGTTTTTTCTACAGTTTTTGCTTGCATTATAAATGAAAGTTAAATATTTCGTAGCACCATAATATGCTGATAATGCAAAAAGGTAAAAGTGGAGATTCGTTGCATACATTCTCGTAAATCGTACTTTTGATGAAAATCCAATTGTGGAAGTATTAATATTCAAAGTATCATCACTAGATCGTTTATACCTATTTTACGTCAAAAGTCTTACATGCTCTGTGATTTCCAATTTGCCATTCATAGACATAATTGATTTCTGGAAAACTCAGACATTTGTAGAATGGTAAAAATAGTTCGAAAAGAGTAGAATTAGAAATAGTTGCAAAATGAGAGTAGCTCTGCCAAAATCTCCTACATTTTAAGTTATCAGCCTAATAACAGTTTCAAAACAGCAAGGACGTATAAAATATTCAAATTGATTTATTTGGTTTAGAAATATGGATATTTTAAGACGTATTTACACAGAGTTAGTTATACTTAGTTTAAAAATCTGACTTCATTGACAGATACTTTATTCAAAATGATAGGAATCTGTACTTGAGAGAAAAGAAAATAATGTAATGAGCGAAAAAAAAGTAGGAACTTATGTGGTGTATAAAAAAAATGTGATTGCAGCAAGAAGAATTGTTCTTTGGTTTTTCAAAATAATTCTTTTGTTATCGAGAGCAGCTTAGTAATTACGATGTAGAAAATATGCTTCAAAAAGTTTTTGAATATTCTAATATGTTCTGCGTATGTAACTTATATTTAGTCAGACATAAAGCTGGCATAGTAAAATGCCTTCTTGAAAATGATATTTAACATTAAATATTAAATTAGTGTTGTAGTTTTTGTCATTGAAAATTTAGTTTATTCGTCTCATTTTCAGGTGGTTCACGAAACTATGAATTCAGAGATGAGCACCAAATTTTAGTGATTCCAAAGTATGATTCTGCTCATGATGATGGCCAATATGCCTGCAGTGCAGCGCAGTTTTATTCTTTTGAAACTGTTGTTATCAACGTCACTGGATATGGTTTCTTTAATTTTTACATTAAACGGTAGCTGTAGCTCAGTTTAGTAATAGGGATTAGAAACACTAAAGTCAGCGAAATATGCGAAAGATGCAAACAGTAATTGTTTAATAATATATGGAGTTAAAGTCAGAAATTATTCTAATAGCAGTCGTTATTTTCTCTTTATAATAGTTTTTATGTTCTGCTCTACAGATCACTGAGTCAAAGCCAAAGCTGTTTACTGTGAAATAAAAAAAATTGATATTTCTACTTATCATTTTGCAGTGAATATCCAGTGGATAGAAGTAATATCATTTTTCATATTTTGTAGCTCGTCCGATGATAACCATACTTGATGGTTCAGAAACAAATCAAGGAGTCGAAGGTCGTGATTTCTTCATTCGCTGTCAAGCTACTGGCAAACCTGAACCTCACTACCAGTGGATAAAATATGTTGTTAGTATTTTCTTTAAACTCATTTTGAGATTAATTTTTGCACATAAAGTTTAGGACATGAGGTAGATTCAGTTGCGGTAGATGCTTCAACCACATTTTGTTTAATCTTTTATTGTCAGTTGCTAAAGTTTTTGCAGGCATTGTTATCAATTTTTTATAATCAATTTGTGAATCTTTCAATGAGCAAATTTAGGACGGTGATGAGCAAATTATCACTTCATCTGAAAAATATGTCATAGACAACGGTATTCTCACTATTCGAGATTTAATTCCCGCTGATCGTGGAACTTACAGCTGTATTGCGAGGAATGCTTTGGATGAAACCAGGCGAGACTTCAATCTTACAGTTTTCAGTAAGTAATTTTATTTTACCATTTCATAATTTACTCTTTTTAATTGACTTAATAAAGTCGAAAAGGAGATCACAATGTTTTTACTTATTATTTGCTTATTGTGCGAAAGAATTTGGGAAATTTTAGGAAAACCAAAGTTAAAGTTATTGAAGAACCTTACGCATACACGTGGTGATACCGTAGATTTAGTGTGTGAATTCAGTGGTGATGGAAATATGAAAGCTCAATGGTTACATCTTGGAGAGCAGTGGTCAACAAAACGAGCAAATGGATCTATTTCATCTCACAGATCTAATAGTCTTGCTGATAACGGTTTCGATGAGAAAAGCCTTATAAATAGCGAGGTATTTGTCCATCCATACATTATGTGCTTTACTGTCAGAAATCCTCTACATTGTAATTATTTTTTGATTAATGATGACTTGGGAACAGGTTTTAACACTGTTCATGTAATTTCTGCCCAAAAAAATATTCATATTTGAGATTATTTTTCATATTAAATTTTAAGAGTGATCATGTTATCGTCCGTGAAGGTGTTGGAGTTGTTATGTTAACGTTATCAAAAATAGATGAAGATGATGCTGGACAGTATCAGTGTGTGGTTGAAAATGAGGCTGGTATGGACCAAAGTTCAATATTTCTGTCTATTATTCGTATGTTTTATTGCTTTGACCGGTTTTCAGCTTATATTAAGATTGAATTTTACTAATTTAAGTATTCACAAATTTTATGGAAACAAAGTAGAAATTTTTACTGTCGCAGATGCCGCTCGAGTTGTTGATCATGGTGGGACGAAAAGAGTCGTACGAGGCAATATGGTGGAGATTCACTGCGGTGCGAGTGCTGTGCCCGAACCGACTTGGACATGGACTGGTCCAAATGGTGTCATTTATGCTGATGGTTCAAAGTATATCCTCAATTCTACGGCGCTCACTTCTACTCTTTTTGTAAGTATCTAATCTTATTTTTCTTTAAATATAGGGGCGAGTTATAGCATAAATATTACTGAATTTTGAGCTTTGTATCTGTTGATGGTATCATTTTTATTTCAAGAGGATTACTATTGCTGTAATGAAGCATGAGTCAAATTTTAACGTAAAACTTATGAATTCATATTTGAGGTACGAGATATCGAAAAAAAGGACTTTGGTAAGTACACGTGCAGTGTGGATAATGGTATTGGTCTACCAGATCATGCTGATTTACAAATAATTGAAATTGGTGTGTTTAGTTACTGATTTTGGTGCTATTGTAATTCTTGTTATGATCATGTATCTTACTGCCTTAGTGGTTAACAATTTCCGAAATTAATGAGAAAACTACATGGTAGATATTATTGACACATTATATCAAGTATGTGAATTAGTAAAATTTTTCATTATTGAGTCATGGCTTTCTTGAGGAATCTGTGAATTAAAGCGGAAAGATCTCAGCATATTTTGGTTATGTGTAGTCATGATTATTACCTACAACCTGTGATTTAAGAACCGCCAACAGTGCCAGATGATCTAAACTGTCATGAGCAGAACTACCCAAACTTCGGTATATGTACAATTGGAAATTTGATGAATTCACCACCTGAAAAGCTGCCAACAAATGTAACACTATATGTCATGGCGGAGGATAAGGTTCAAATTCATCTCCAAAGTTCTATAGCCCAGTTACTTTTATAACTGCTAAGGATTATGTTTTACTCAGTTTTTCAGTAATTATGTTATATTTATAAAGTAAAGGGTTATTAATGTTCAGCTTCAATAACCTCATTTTTAAGAATTTTAGGACTATAGAAATTTTTTGCAGGCATTTCCTGATAAATGGCAAACAGATAGTGTGAATTTAACCTTTGAATTTGCTGAGGATCATCGGTTCAAGCTTTATCATTTGGAACCAAGGACTCGCTATAAAATTCAAGCACAGACTTCCAACGAAGCTGGAGTTTCAGGACTGAGCATTCCTGACATTATTGAAACAACAGATCCGTGGGGTAAGTTTTCTAGATGTTAGTGTCACTATAAATTCCCTTTCAAATAAGATCAAATGAACAAAATGACCGTTATACCTGACAAAATTTACATTTGAGTAAATTTTGAACTTGTCTGATGTAAACATCAGAGTTTTAATCACCATTTTTTGGTGTCATTTCAAATCGTTTGAAAATTTGAAATCAGTGAAAAGTAACTAACTGATTTAGCTGAATTTATAGCTCCGGATGCGCCAAATGATGTACGATATGATTGTCTAGGGATTTGCAAAATATTTTGGAGTGAGCCAAATGATTGGGGTTCACCCATTATTGCTTATAAATTGATCCTGAAGGAAATTGCTCACACTGAACCAGTATATTTTGAGCACACTTATTTTGATGGTTAAATTATTGAAAAATTACCATCATTGTGATTTATCTTACTTGTGCTGAAAGTTCTATTCTATATTCTTCATTTTGTAATAGAACTGCAAATTGTGATTTGACTGACTTTTCAAGAAGTTTTTAGAGACAGTATGGTTCCGAAAGCTATGAACTTGATTTGGGCGTTGATCATCTCACAGCAAATCTACCATTCCTGAAACCTCTTACAACCTATGAGATAAAACTCATCGCTGTGAATGATATTGGCAACAGCAATGCTTACATCTCATCGCTTACTACATCTGGTATGTTCTTGTAGATTTTCTGGTCTATTCGTTCGCTGCAACTATTTCATCAGAAACTATCTGTAAAACTACATATTATGTAGATCGAAAACGTGAGGCTCTAAAAGCATCATTTTTTTCAGTAATTACAAAATTAACAAAAATCGACACGAAATTAAATTCTTGAAAACATTTGTTCATTGGAAAAGTACTGTATCTATCACTTACAGAATATACTGTGGGTGGTGAACACAAAGGTAGTAGTTTCGATTGGCTTAGGTTATTATTCGCAATATTTCTTCTTTTGACAATGATTATTGTGATTATCGACATTATATGTTGTGTCAGACACCGGCGTGGATTGCTAGCAACATTCGCTTCAAAATTTATTGGATCTCCTGACGACCGTAATGAGAAATCAAAAAATGCGTTGCAGAATACCAAGTCTGTTTTCACTTTCTCTTTCACATCTTGATTGAAGATTAAAAAATTTAAGACGAAAATTTGCGAAAATCTTGAAATTGAATCCGAAATACTTGCAACTACAGACAGACATCATGTTTTTGAGCGTAATATTCATTGCTTTAGTTTTTAATTTAGAAGTATTGAAGTTTTTTAGGACGGAAACTAACCGCTTATTAACTGAGAAACAGAACGAGCCAAAGACTGTTGTGAGGTAGGTTTATTGGGTGTTACAGAAGTGTAGTATTAAATCTGGATTAGTTTTTGAATTCATATTCCAGATTTTCGTACTTTATTCTTGCATATGCTTCGATTATATATTCCCTATCTAAAGAGTAGGTAAAACCTCGCAGAAAATCCTACCGTTTAAAACGTATTAGCAGCCCAGAAGGCGTTCTTGTGTAGCGCAATAGAAAAGAAAACCCACCATGCAAAGCCATACAAAATACAGACGAATAAAATCTCATCCGTAGTTGATTTATCAAAATGACTACTACTATATGGAAACATTACCTCGCAAGATGAGGCACGATACTGTAACCTCCAAAATATAATTATGTTTGAAGCTGAGAAAGGTATGTGTCAACATTGTAGAGAACGTGTGAAGACAGTGCAACGCTGTGCGAAAAAATGTTACACCATGACTACACTAGAAGACACAATGAGGTCCTACAATGCATCCACTTCGGACTCTGCAAGAAATATGGTCTGAAAGCATTCCCGCGCTTACAAAGCCATTCTGTTCAGGAGGTC